CGAGGGCCACCTCTCGCCGGGGGCGCCGAGGGGCGGCGGTGAGGAGTCCTCCTCCGCCGCATCCGTTCGCACTCTGCCTGGAGCTTCCTCCGTCGGAGGAGGATCAAGGAGGAGAAGGAGGAGGAGGCCTCCAGGAGGGGGTCCGAGCAGCTCGGGCTGGAGGATCGCGCCGCATCGCGGACGCATCGCGGAGATGCACTGTCGCCGTCGGCGCGGAGAATATCGAACACATCGAGCCGCATCGCCGATTCATCGGCGACGCGGCGCGATCCTCCGACCCCATTTACTTCGACCCATCTGGGGGGCCTAGAAAGACTGGATGCAGAAACGTTGGTGCAGATCATAGTTATCGTCGATCTTTGTCACCGTCAACTCGTGGGCCATCCCCGCGAGTGGCGACGGCCAGCACGGACCATGGCCGAGGTCGGCGTCGGCAAGACCCCGGGACATCTTGGGCGTGATCATCGTATCTCGCCCCTCGAGGCAAGGAGCCCTCCTCCCAGACCAGCTCGCGCCGCGGATGAAGATCACGACGAAAGGTTTTGGGTCATCTGCGGCCTCTGGGGACGGACCTCGAGACCGTCAGAAGGAAAGCCGACCCTGGGGAGAAGGTCAGACCGCAGGGGGACCACGTCTTGAAAAGAAACACAACGTTGGAGGTCTGGGTCACAAGAACCGTGCCCATGCACCGCACCATGACTGGACGCAGTTCAGGCCCCGCTCCAACGCGGCACGGTGCATAGTATTTCGGGCATGGGTGATCAAAACCTAAAAACTTGAAGGGGCCCCAGGACACACAAATAAATACACACAAATAAAAATATTCCCCATATTTTCCTATATTTTTGGGGTTTTTGTCTTCCCCCCCACTTCCAATATTGTTTCATATTTTCTGGGGAATCGACGATGAATTGTGTCTGTGTGTTTTTCCCTCCTGAAAACTGTGTACCGACACTGCATCGAGAGGATCTGCGACACCTCCAGAGACGCCCACGCGGCACGGTGCACACCAGTTGCCGTCCAAAAGCGCCTGCCTCTTCTCGGGCCAGGCGAAGGGGGGGATAGCTAAGGGGGGGGGTTTGAGAATCAGCTCACGTGGCTGATCTTCCTGGCGCCTCCCGGCGCAGGGAGGCACCCATGCACCGAGGAATGGGCCCGGCGGCGGGGCCGAAACCAGCTGCACGCAGCAGATTTCTCGGTGATACAAAAGGCGCAAGTCGTAACAAGCACAACGAGAGCCCAATCATCGCAAGTCGACAAGGGGTCGAAGGCGGTACGGACGAAATGACTCGTCGCATGTCTGCTCCAGAGAGCCCCATCCCTTGCCCACCATCTGCCCCCCACACCTCCCCCCTACACTCGATGGCCTTGCTGCGCTGGTGCACAGCAGCTCATGCAAAGGATCAGAGAGGAAGGAAGTAACCCCCCCTTTCCCTATCCCCCCCTTCCGTCCGGCCCGATATATACAGCGAGGCACGAAAATAGACAAACTGCATGGGCATCAACGTGCGGAGGTCGGCGCGGATTTCGTAGGTCGGCGCTCGACCCTCCCTCCCTGGCGCGCTCAGCAGTGGCCTCCCGTCCAGCCGTGGCGGCCGTGGCGTCGAGGGCCTCCAGAAGCGACCCCCAAACGAACTTCACCACAACAACGACAACAACAATAACAACAACAACCACAACAACAACAACAACAACAACAACAACAACAACAACAACCACAACAACAACAACAACAACAACAACAACAACAACAATAACAACCATAACAACAAGAACAACAAGAACAACAACAACAACAACAACAACAACAACAACAACAACAACAACGACCACGACTCCGACAACGACAACGACGACGACGACGACGACGACGACACCAACAACAACACCCACAACAACCACAACAGCAACAACAAGGTGAAGCCGGCTGCCGGGTACCTGGTTCCACGGGGCCTGGCTGGCTGGCTTCCCAGAGAGGACGAACCTGGCTGCCAGGTACCCGATCCCCTCCCATCCCCCCGAACAACGAACAACAATACAACAGAACACCACCAAAACCAAGCAAACAAAAAAAAACGGAAACTCAACTCACACCCTTTCGCACATCCGCCAACTCTGCCCTCCATGGTGAGAGAGTGCGCCGGCGAAGCGATGCGTATGGGGTCCCTACAGCAGACTTTATGGGATCCCTACAGACCTTTATGGGATCCATATGGGAACCCTGAAGGCCTTCGTGGGATCCCTATGAGACCCCTACAGACCCTCATGGAACCCCTATGAAATCCCTACAGACCTTTATGGGATCCCTATGAGATCCATACAGTCACTCATGGGATCCCTGTGGAACAACTCGTATAGCAGTAGTAGTAGTAGTAGTAGTAGTAGTAGTAGTAGTAGTAGTAATAGTAGTAGTAGTAGTAGTACTGATACTACTGGTAGTAGTAGTAGTAGTAGTAGTAGTAGTAGTAGTAGTAGTAGTAGTAGTAGTAGTGGTAGTAGT